TTTAATTTGTCACAAAATGATGACAACGATTTTTCCTTTCCACAATAAAACCTGTAATTTATCAGGTTCATTCCAGAACTATATTTTATAGAAATTCACTTCTAAAATACAACTATCCTTTATTTTATATTATCCAGTGTGCTGTTTTGCATATTATATGAAATTTAACGGCAGAAGCATATATTTCTTTATCATTTTAGAACAAGTATATCCTATATAGGCTAAACATTGTTAAAATTCATTTATATTTTTATATTATTACTATTTATTGATAAAAATATTATTATTATTATTATTATTATTATTAAACGATATCGTAATAAACTAGTAGACTAATGAATTTTACTTTGTTGTCTTTTAATGGATTTGGGAATAGGATAGGGACAGAGAGAAATAACTGTTTATGTGCCGAAAATGACAGTAAAAAGGAATCAAAGTGACTATTCATTACATGTTAATTTAGCTTATAAATATATATTTTTTCACAATATTATGTCTAGGTTTATTTATAATTGCAATGAAAAACCCTATAAAAAATTAAAAAGTAAACTTAATGTTCTTTGGGCTTCTTTCGAAAATAGTTTATTTAAGAACCTTGTAAAATCTTTGCAGCACACCTACTTTCTTTTTACTGCACAACAGTTGAAAATCACTGTCCAGACGGAATTTTAAATTCAGGTTTTGTTACGACGTCGATCTTGTCGCATTGTACTTTATATTCTTGCAAAAAATCATCTTTAATGGTCATGTAGTTTCTGGCTTAAAGAAACTAAGAGGTACTTTTAGGAAAGGGAAAACTTTTCTTTTTAAAGTTTTTCATGCAGAGTATTTTCTTTTTCTCGAAAGCATTCTATAATTCATTGCACTGTATACTGACTTATGTACTCATCTCGCGTGATACTTGCATTGAGGAACTCTTTCTTTACGTTTTAGGACAATTAATATTCTGTACTCTCTAAACTTTCTCCATTTTATACAAATTTTGATATGAACTGCTAAAAGTGACTTGCCTTTTATATGCAGGAAGCGTGACGCAAGAAAAGTTATTAGAAATCTTACAAATTTGATTTTGGAAAACGCTTTCTGATTTACAAAAACCTCTGCTTTCTTTTCGTATTCGTTGAATAAATATGAGATCGAACATTTTAAAATTTATATTAATTTACTTTATAAAAATTTGATATACGATGAATTTTATTTTTAAATCAATAAGATAAATATATTTTTTAAATGATTCAATTTAACTTCTTTTAAGCAAGGAAAAAATGGCTTTGAAAAGAGCCATTAGTCTGCCAGTTTTGAAGAAATCGGCAATTCGGGCCTTTCTCATGGGTAAGAATTCCTGTTTAACTGCATAAAATACCGACTTAACAATATTTTTTTTCCGCTTAGATTGCTTCTTTTAAACTCATTTTTTTGGGGGGTCCCGCAATTCCTGGTTAATCTTCACTTCATTCGTCTCTTTGTCCTGGATTTCTTCTTTTGCTGATTTTTTTCCTTTTGTCCCTCGATTAGTTTGATAGAAATGGAGGCTCCCTTCTCGTTTCTGTCTGATTTCACATTCTCGATTCGAGAAAGATCGATCGGATCTTCTGTAAAATATAACAATAAATCTGAATCTATGTACAGTACAATCCCACTTGGAATGCACTTTTTCTCATCTAAACTTTCAGAAACTTACGTAAACTTGCGTACATATTAAACGAAGTGCTACAAATAATTCCTATTGTAAATTAACAAGTTTATTTCAATAACTTATTACCATAGATTCCATTAGTTTAGAATATACAGTTGTGCAAATCTTGCAACATCTGGCAACAGACTGCAATCAAGTTCGTTCAGAAAGGAATTTTGAAAAATTCGAATTTTTAAGATTTATAATATCTTTTCTTGCGTCACGCTTCCTGCATATAAAAGGCAAGTCACTTTTAGCAGTTCATATTAAAATCTGTATAAAATGGAGAAAGATTAGACAGTACCGACACCAATCAGAAAATTAATAGTCCTGAAGTGCAAAGAAAGAGTTCCTTAATGCAAGTATCGCGCGAGATGTGTAGATAAGTTTGTATACAGTCCAATGAATTATAGAATGTTTATGAGAAAAAGGACTCTCCAGGGAAAGCTTTAGGAAGAAAAGTACCTCTTAGTTTTTTTGGCCAGAAATCGTCTGTAGTTAACAAATGCTGATTAGAAGAAAATAGGAAAGCCAGACAAAACACAATTTCTTGTTTATGCACCAGATCATATACCTATAGGAAATATAGGTAACAAATCTAATCCTGCAATCAATGCCTGGGTTTCTGAGACCAAGCGCGAAATTTGCGAATAAAAAATTCGTATTTTTATTACATTGCATTTCTAATAAGAAAAAAGAGCCCGATGTAGATACTGAAAAGACAAAAAAACTGAATATACTTGTAAAAAGTGCAAAATCTACATCTGTTTACAGCATTCACGTTTTGTTTGTCAATGCACATAAACATAAATAAATAAAAAATAATCGAACGATTTTTTATTGTATGTTAAATAAAAGCTTTAAAAAGTAATGTAAAAAACATAATATGCAATCTTTTGTATTAATAAAATTTATGTAATTATATGTGCTTCTTGTTATTATTAATATACAGTTTCAATTTTTTTGGATAAAAATGTTACGTAGTTAGCTGTTAAATCAGAAGGATTAGAATATATAGGGGAGACCGGGGCAAGATCGGCATGTTAAGTTTTACTTAAATTTTGTGTAATAAATACTGCTGTAAACTGAAAAAAAAGCTTTGCATATTGTCTATTGGAATGTTACCTTACTATAGAACTGGTTAAAATCAGTTTGGAAATAAAAATAATTAAAATAATTACAACTTTACAAGAAGAGAGAAATTGACGAAGTTGCCCCGGGTATAGGGGCAAGATCGGCAACTTCTCTCTTTTTGTAAAGTTGTAATTATTTTAATTATTTTTATTAAAGTTGCCCCTGGTATAGGGGCAACAGTAATGGGGCAAGATAGGCACGTATATAAAATTATGTTATTAACAATGTATAAGTTGGAATTCACTATTAAAACAAAGAAATACAAATCCAACACCCATTTAATATTATTACAACGAAATGCAAGTTCAAAGACATATATACATGAATAACAAATGCAAACATGTTTTCATTTATCATCTGTTTGATTTTTATCCTTTGCTTCTAATGTGGCTTTATGTTGCCGATCTTACCCCGCTAGTCATGATTTCGAAACATTAAGTACAACCCTGAGAACAGAATGCCAAGCCACGATCTGGCCACGTGAATAAGTTGAAGTTACATCCTTCTAACAGGAAAAGTAACTTTCGTTATCATGGAATTATAACAAAACCTGCCAATTCAATATAAATGGAAAAAAAATATTATATGGAATTGAACGAAAATGAAAATTTGCTTGATAATTCAACTACGCTTGTTGGAGAACAATAAAAACACTACACTCAACAAGCCACCAATAAAACTCAACTGCCTAACCTATAACCAAAGTCTCTTTTTAATTTGTTTTCAAAAAAAAGCGCTTGACAAACTTGCCCCGCATGCCGAAGTTGCCCCGGTCTCCCCTATAGTTCTTCGAAAATATCTACACGAATCAAAACGTAATTTTTTTCAAACACGAGCCTGTAATTTGCAGCATGACAACGCCTGTCTGCACTATGCTAGGCGAATTGTGGCTGCAGTCTTTGATCATATAAGTGTAATCCCCTGATAAGGACTTGGACATGCCTTCTACACAAAGTGTTTGGAGACTTTTCGTTGCCAGGAGACTTTTATTTGGCATTAAATAGATACATTATTCAACACATAAGCATATTTTTACAAACAATATGGTTTTATTCAGTGATGAGATGACAATTTGGATTCGTTAACATAAATTTCAAAGATATACACGCACAATTTTATTTCTGTCNGTAATTTGCAGCATGACAACGCCTGTCTGCACTATGCTAGGCGAATTGTGGCTGCAGTCTTTGATCATATAAGTGTAATCCCCTGATAAGGACTTGGACATGCCTTCTACACAAAGTGTTTGGAGACTTTTCGTTGCCAGGAGACTTTTATTTGGCATTAAATAGATACATTATTCAACACATAAGCATATTTTTACAAACAATATGGTTTTATTCAGTGATGAGATGACAATTTGGATTCGTTAACATAAATTTCAAAGATATACACGCACAATTTTATTTCTGTCCGTCTCGTGTATAAACTCGGCTTATTCGAGAGACTGGTTAGCGGACAAATCACCTCTGCATTTTAAACTGCCAAATCTATAAAAGTTTGATTACCAAGAAACGAACTGTAAACATTTGTGGAAGTACAAACGTTGGTTTGGTACCTGAGAAATTCGACTACAAGAGTGGTAACCTTAGGATATTACAGTTTATGAGATATCACAAACAAATATTACTTTGTATTATATCACTTGTCTTTTTCATCATGTCCAGTAACGTCTGAAAGTTAAAGCTTCTGAGGGCATAGTACAAAAAACATGTAAAAATAAATGTTAAGAAATGAAAGTCATATTTAACAAGGTTAAACAGCTAAACCTACAGAGGATTTTTTCGTTATATCGAGTGTTTACCAGGTCTGCCAACTCTGTTCAGGTAAGGAAGGATTCAAAAAGAATGTTAGGAGTTACGACTACACTGAACTTATTCAAAAAACAAGTTGTTTACAGTGTTTTTCTTTCTTCAATTATCAATGATAATGTTTTATTCAAATATATTTCTTATTTTTCTGTTTTGTAATTTTTCATTTTGTAGTAGATTAGTACCTAATATTCAACAGAGTGAATGGTGTTTTTCTTTAGTCTGCATGAAATAAGAGTAGCACATCTAATTTATATTTATATCAAAAAATTATCCTTTAGCTTTTTATAGTTTGACAGAACCTATAAAAAGATTTATTCTAAATTTAAGCAAAATTCAACGAATATTTTATATAATTTATAAAACGTTATTTCCTGTAGAATGCTGAAGATAACCAAACACCGCATGACAATGAAGAGTTTAATAAACCAGGAATTTCAGTTTATAAATCATACATCAATGCCGGAGCGGGACTTTTCTTAAAAATTGTTATTTTATCCACGCTAATTATAGCTCAATCCCTTACAAGTGCCAGCGACTATTGGCTAATCAAATGGTATGATATTATTATAATTAATGTATACTTTAACACGTGAACTGTGTTTTAATATAAAATGTTTAATCAAAAGATTGATTATGTATGCCACTTTCTATTCAGTATGTTAACAAGTGCCAGATATAATAAATGAAGAAATTTTGTGAGTTGCAGTGAATATATTTTTTGTATTTCTAAATATCGCCATACACGTATTTTAATTATAAAATGCTAAATATATAAATATATAATACATATAATATGTATATATATATA